AGAGCCAAAGATGTTAGAATTGTGTCGATGTCCCAATATTTCTGGACCTGACTGTAAATAGGATGCCAAAAACATATACATTAAATTTTAACTACAGACCAAAAGTTAGCATACCACTGAAAATAAAGCCCAGTAGAACTATAACCTCTGGCTTAGTGCAAGGGAGAACAATTACATTTTTAATAATGTGCCACAGAGTTCTCACTAATGTTACTGCAAAGTTTGTATTTAAAGTTTAACTGATTTATGCTTATTAAAAAAAAAATTCTATCCTGAATAGTCAACCTAGAATACACACTTGTTACAATTTATTTCTTTTGTACTCTTCCTTTCCAGTTTTCCCTACTGTCCTACCTTTGAGGGCAAAAAAGCTGCAAGAACAGTATCATCAATATTTCCTCATAGCTAAATAACATACAGAAATAATTTTAGTCTCAAGTTCCTTTGAACTAAAAAGATAAAAAGTAAAAAAAATCTATTTTTAATTCAGGATAACTGAAGTACTGCTACCTAACAGCAGCTAACAACTACCTATGATCCTCTATGTTTATTGCAGAGAATCTTACGCAAAACTAGAACTCAAGACTCTCTTTATTATGCTTAAGCGGATAAGGTGAGGATCATACAAGTTACTTCTAGCAGACATCTACATAGTAGTGGTAGTAATTTCATTTTAGGCATGCAAGAGATTAACAGGCAAGAGAGAGATTTTATGTTCATTAATATAAAGAGTCAAATGTAAGAAGGCAAGGGGGAAAAAACTGATGCAGCTAGAATCTCCAATATTTGGAATACAGCCCATTGGAAAGTTTCCTAGAAAAGAGGTAAAAAGAGTTTCTCAGTTTTTATTTTAATCAAGCTTACTCAGAAACTCTTTACTGGGTTCTATCCTAACCACATCCCTAACACGTTTGGAGCCATTGAATGATAAAAATGATAACATATTTGGAGCTTATTAAATGATAAAAAGGTAAGTATGTAAGCTTGTGTAAACTGAAGTATCTAGTCTCATTATGTTCATTGTTTTTTTCCCCCTACTCATCATGTTTCAAGCTGAAAGTACATATTCATTCCACAGTCTAAAATACTGACTTACTGGAAACCTAAGGATGTGAAATATTTATCTATTTCATCAACAGCAAGCCAGAGGTGAACATACATCAAATATAAATCAGAATTATGAGGATCTTTACCTGTTATCTTTTCCTGGATACATTTGAGTATATTCTACTCTATATTTTTTGGCAAAAAGCATGAAGGCATTCATTGGTCTTTTGCATTTGTTGGGAGAAGTGGCACTAACAGTACTTGCAGTCCCTGAGTTGTGGTTTTTGCCAGATTTACTATACACCGAGGACATCTGTGTTGACTGAACAGGCCCACAATTTGCATTGCAATCTGATCTTTCGA